AGGGTTCGGATCCCACATACAGACCGGTTCCCGCTCACTGGCTGAGCGAGGTGCGGGTGCGACACCGAGGGTTGCGATCCCGTAGCCAGTCCCGGTCTGGTACGGGCGCGACACTGAGGGTTGCGATCCGTTGCCGGTCACGAAAAAAGACAAAAAGGAAAAAAAAAAATGAATGCCTTGAATAAAACCTCGCTTCTCCCATGAAGTTTATGCTATAATGTTTGGTTTCCATGAAAAGTGACATTTGGAGGAATTGTCACCTTACCCAGATGAGCTGCTTTGTGTAGGGAGAGGAGGACAGTGGGCATGGACTGGGGGTCCTGTGATTGGGGTGGGGTGGCGGTGGAGAATCAGCCATCAGTGTTTTAAGTCTCAAAAAAATGAGAAAGCATCTAGCTGGGGTGGGGGCAGGTGTGAAGAGTGTTGTCATAACTAAATAAACAAGGTCACCACAGACTGCACGGAGGCTTAAAGAACATTAACACAGTCATGTGATAGAAAGGGGAGGAGGAGTAGGTGGGGAAGGCTTCTTGAGGGAGGTGACATTTAAGCTGCTCTCTGCGAGATAAAAAGAGGCCAGCCAAGGAGTGAAGGGGACACATTTCTAGCAGAGAGAACAGTCAGGGCGAAGGCTCTGGGGAGAGGGAAAGGTTGCTGCGTGCGAGTGAGAGGAGGCCCGTGCGGGGGAGCAGAGACAGGCAGGAGATGATGTGGAGGAGGAAAAAAGGACCGGATTTTACAGGGAAGGGGGCACCTTTTATTTTTTCTCAAGCATGTCAGGAAGCAGTTACAGAGTTTGAAACAATTGACATGATCAAACAGTATCAAGGAAACCAGTTCAGAGGCTGAAGCACAGGTGGACTAGGAAGGGAGCAATAGCGAGGGAAGAAACTGATTCAAAAATATTTGGGTCCTGGTGGGTGTGGGAGTGTGGGAAAAGGGCGCACCATATTGATTTCTAGATCTGGGCTCAACAAGGCAGGGCTGGTGCTGTTCACTAAGAAGGCAAATCCAGGCATATAAAGGGAAACTAGGAAATCGGAATTAAGAATTCTGTTCTGACATGCATTAGACTTCCAGGTGGAGAGGCCAATTTGAGAGTTGGACGTGTGAATCTAGAGCTGGAGAGAGGCGTGGAGTGGACGTGTCAATTGGGGTCATGACCGTGTATTTGGTATTTACAGCAATAGCACAGGATGAGATCACCTGAGGAAAGTACAGGTAAAAAGAGAAGAGAGTCCAGTAAGTAGAGGTTGAACTGAGGAACTGAAGGAGGCAGAGGGGCTGGAGAAGGAGGGAGCCAGGGCACAGGAGGGAGCCAGGGGACAGGAGGAAGCCAGGGCACAGCCTCTCAGAAGGCAGGAGAAGAGGGTGATGTATGAAGGAGAGCTGGTGACCAATTTTTGATGCTGCAGAGAAATCGAACAGCATGACAGAAAACCGTCCCTGGACTTGTGTCAATGGATGTCACCAGTGCCCTTGACAAGTGACTCAGGGGACTGATGGGTGTGGGAGTTGCACTAGAGATATTTGCCAAGTGAGTAGAGGCACCAAACGAGAGTGTACCCCAGTCTTTGGGAAGTTTTGCAGGGAGAGAAGCCAAGAGATGTGGCAGAACTTGGAGGGGTTTGGACACCTGATTTCTTCTCTCGATGGTGCTTCCTGAGCACTCTCTGTACCAGATTCTTACACATTTGCATGATCATTCTTAATGAGGCATCGTAGCCCATCGTATGGATGTACTTGTGATGCGCCCAGTGATACCCAGTGCCCATTTTATAATCACCTAGCGTCCTTCCAACTCTTCACTTTTATCAGCACCCCTGCAACAAAACGCTTGTACGTGTGTCCTTTCCCCTTTGACCAAATACTTCTCTAGCATCAACTTCTAGACATGGAATGTGAAAAAGAAAAGGAAGGAGGGGCGTGGCCTGGAATTTCCTCATTCGATCATATTGCAGTAACCTTCTCTTAAAGCCAGAATTACTCCCTCAATTGGGTAATTTCCTTCTGTAGCTACAAGGGGGCCTAGAAAACAAGTCCCCTGTTTTTCAAGTGGAAGTTGCTAAAATAAAGAAAATAGAACAAGTATTTGAATGATTAGAAGCTCCAGGTACCTTCCAGTGGGTTTCTCTGGTTTTTTTCTTCCTTTCTCTTGACCATTTTTTCACTCACATGTCATTCTTACCCTTCCTGCAGGCACCTTCGTAGCCCCAGGGCTGTGTGTGTGTGTGTGTGTGTGTGTGTTCCTCTCCCTCCCCTTAAGCCTCGCTCCTGTGTGTCCCCGTCAATTCCTCTAGTTTTAGTTTGCCTTGCGTAAATATATCTGAATAAGTTCAGGGAATGGTTAAGCTGCAGACGGGTTTACACATACAGCCCTACATTCAGCAATACGCAGCATGGAGAATGTCTGCAGACCAGGGCATGTGGGCAGCGGCCTGCCTGTCTGACCTCGCTTGCCACCCTAGCCACGCCCATCGAATGTGTTTTTAAAGGGCCGGCTGGTGTGTTTCAGAGCAGCCTGAGGGCTTTCTTTAACTGTTCTTGGTTTGTGTGCAGGTGGGAGTCTCTAGTCCTTGTGCTGATGTATCTTATCTACATTGTCATCATGAAGTAAGTAAAACACCTTAATCTCTTTTCCCAAACCATTTCCTACCTCCAACATTATGTGATGATGTGCAGAGAGGAGCGGGGGTGGGGGCGGGTATCTGACAGGTTTTCAACACCAACTGTCACAGACTCATTTGGCTCCTCAGCAGCCTGTTGTGAATTGCTGTGATTTTGATCAGTAGAAATAGCAATGGCCCTTCCAACCCATATGTGAAGATAGAATCAAACTTAAATGTTGAGAACCCTTGGAACACTTGCTCCATCTTCGGGATCTGGCCACCTGGCTTTTGGCTGTTTCTTCAGTCTCTTTCCTAACTGGCTAAGTTATACATCTATATAGGGTGAGGGAAGATGGGCCCAGAGCTAGTTAAGGGATGACTAAAACCATGGATCAAGTATCTGCAGACTTCCACTATATATATGGCATTAGTCCTCTACTGCTGCATAACAAATCACCCCCAAACTTAGTGGTTTAAAACCACAAGCTGTATTACCTCCCACCGTTTCAGAGAGTTAAGAATCCAGGGGCAGTGTAACTGGAGGGTTCTAGCTCAGGGTCTCCCATGAGGTTGCAGGTAAGATATTGGCCAGGGCTGCCATCATCTGCCTGCCTGGTGCTGGCCGATCCACCCTCAAGACACCCACCCACACCACCGGCGAGTTGACGCTGGCTCTTGGCCACAGGGCTTGGTTCCTCACCATGTGGGCTTCTCCTTGGGGCTGCCTGAGTGGCTTCCTCCAGAACGAGTGACTAAAGAGAGAGAGCAGGAAGGACCCTCAATGCGTTTCATAACCTTGTCTCAGAAGTCACACACCATCGCTTCTGCCAAAGTGGGTCACTAAGTCCAGTCCACGCTCAAGGGCTCCACTTCTCCTATTGAGGGAACGAGTGCCACAGGATTTGTGGACACATTTATGTTCTTTTCCCTGCGGGAGTCGGGGCAGCTCACTATGTATTCTAAGAACGATGTTGCTGATTACAGATGTCTCCCATCCTCTAAGTTAAATGTAAGCACCATGGCTGTGAACCTGCAGGCTCAACTTTTTGCCAAATATCACTGAGATGAGGTGGTTATAAATAACGTGGAGATACCCCGTGCTGTAGCTGCCTGCCCCCATGGGAGCTGTTTCCTTTACTCTAAACCAGCCCATGCTTTCCCCAGCTATGTAGCCTCAGGAGTGACCGCCTTCTCTAGGGACCAGAAAGCAGAGAGCTGCCAGAAACTGCCAGTTTGGATGTATCAGGGAGCAGTCTAGAACTGGCACATTAAGTTTTCTTGCTGTGGGGGCCTACCAAAAATTGATTCTGGCCACCAGTGACTGAGAGTCATGCTGGGGGAAATCAGTGTGGACACCGGCAAACATCACCAGAACAGTGAAGGTAGGCGCTGGCTTTGCTCGTGTCCAGGGGGGGCTGCAAGCTATTTGCTGCCTGTCTTCTCGATATGGCGTCCAACTTTTGCCAGAGAAGCTGTCCGGTGGTCAGCGTAGACCCAGTACCTGGGTCTTACTGGAGAAGGGATTTCTAGAGAGGACCTTACTCAGACATATCCTGCTGTGACACTACCATGAGATAACAGATGAAGAAACCAGAAGTCACACACCGTAGAACTTATCACCTTCCATTTAAAAGTACCAATAGATGAGCTCCCATGAAAAACAGAGTTGGCCCAAAGGCTTTCCAAAGTTTCTAGCCTCCAAAGGAAAAGTTTTTAAAGATGAGAGCAACCACCCTGTTCCTCTTTGCCTCAATTAGCAAGACTATGCCACAGTGAGAATGCTCCAGACAATAAACGTATCTTCTTTTGTCTTTCCTATTTATTTCACCTTTTTATTTTTACTTTTTGAACCTCCAAGTTTGAGTTCCCAAAGAGTCAAGAGTTCTCCTCTTCCCGTTTGAGAAGGTGACTCAGTCAATTATTTGGGAAGAATTGTCATACAGTGGCTGCTATATGCCCAACCTTGATCTTGGGTCTCAAATCTGAATTTTGGTGAAAGTATGCTCCATAACGAATGTTCTAGAGGCTTCACAGAAAGAGGTGGGCTTCAAAAACAGATATGGTCTAAAGGGAATGGGGCTGAGGAATTTTGCTAGCGTGCCTTCTATGCACCTCTTCACAGAGCCATTGTACAGCTCAGGAGTTGCTGGTAAGCAGGTAGATTTTAAGAGAACACAGTGAGTACATCTTCTCCTCTACCCCAAGCCATACCAAGGGTGGAGACTAATGAAGTATGTTTCTGCTGATTCTTCGGCTTTTCCAGTGTTCCAGCTGTTCAAACCAGCAGGATACAAATAAAATGAGGTGCTCACAGAATTTTCTGCATAAATTCTGGTCCTAAGTTCTAAATTGAAATCTCTGCTCTTTAGCCCCTCTGCAATCAGAGGCTTTAATCACTGGGTTTTATAAAATCTGATTTATGAAATTGCATGCTTCAGAATAAAAGAGCTTCAGGGCACAAGCACAAGACTTAAAACATTCAGTTAAAAATATAAAACAGAGCACCAGCAGTTAAAACACAGCATATATTAGAATCAGCAGCTGCCTTCTGGGTAGACCGCTTTAAAATGACTTTAAACCTTCTGTCTGAAGGTCAAAAAGCAATTTCAGATTTCTGGCCAGATAGATAGAAACCATAAGGGAGCAGAGGCATACCAGGGCTTGGCAAGGATTGGTCTCTGTACATCCTGGGTCACTTTTCTGGGATTTGTTCCCCGGGTGAGACAATATGTTGGGAGGTTAAGAACAAGCACTTCATATTCAGCTCTGGCAGCTGATCCCCCCTGCCAGTTACCTGCCATGGAGCCTTGGCCAAGCTATTCAGCCATTTTGAACCTCAGTTTCCTCTTCTGCAAAATAGGATTTGCAACAGGTCCTACCTCAAAAGGTTTTTAATGAGGACAGAATGTAACAGCTTAGTTATTAACCCAATACCTGGTTTGAAGAAACCCCTCACTATATGGTATTATTTTTCTGTTATACAAACCCCAAATAAATGTATACACAGTTGTATTTTAAAAGCAAACCTTAATACAGGTCAGTATTTCTATGGGGAAAATGGATTCTAGGTCAAGATGGCAGAAACATCAGTAGAGCAAAGCATTCTTGTTGAATCTAGAAAGTGGGAGACCTTTTCATTAAGGGGAATGTGGAATACACATGAAAATCAACAGAAAAACAGGATGAGCCCCATGTGTTTGTCACAAGCTCTCACAACCGCCAACCCATGGCTGCTCAAGCCACACCCTGTCCACCCGCGCACCTTAAAATTTTGAAGCCTCAGATATCATACTAATTCACCCATAAAAATTCCAGTATATGTCTTTAAAAGCAGTCATTTTTAACATAACCGCAATATTATCATTTTCCTGAAATTAATGCTAATTTCTTAATTTCATAAAATATCCCATCAATATTCAAATTTTCAATGGTCTCCTAAATGTCATTTTTCACAGTTTTCTTTCAGCCCCATAAATGTCATAAATATTTTTAAAGTCAGAATCCAAATAAATTTCACCCATTACAATTGGTTGCTCCATCTTTTGGATCTCTTTTAATCTATGAATTCCCCCTCTGTTTTGTGGGGGGGGGTATGGAGGTGGGGGGATGCGTGTTTCCTTGAAATTTATTCTTTGACAAAGTTTGGTTGCTTGCTGTGCAGAGTTTCCTGCGTTTGGGGATTGTGGACCACCTCCTGTGGTGTAGCACAGCCTGTTCCTTTGGCCTCTGTGTTTCCCATATGTCAGTAATTGATCTGATTCAAGCTAGACTGTGTCCCAAGTGGCAGTGTGTTCTGCCATCACGAGGCAAATTGATGTCTGCCTTCTCCCTGTCTTGATGTTGGCAGCCACTGATGCTAAATATCTGGATCCATTATTTCATTAGGGTTGCAAATTAGTGATATTCTAATTCTATGTCCTGCCCACTTCCCTTTCCACAGTCAGTGCCCACTACTAGCTTGTCTGACTAGCTTTCTGCTCTCCCTGATGTGATGTAGGAAGAACTGTAGGCCCCCAGGGAGTCTAGGAAGGGGCTCATGGAACAGAAGGCCCAGCCACAGAGAGTCTCTGCATCCCCTCCACAGTGGCTACCATGTCCCCATAGGCCAGCCCAGCCCAGAGCTGCACTGATTGAAGAATCAGACATAAAGACACAGCTGGAAGGACTCCAGGGAGCCTCGTGTCTGTAGCAGCAGACAGGAGGAGGAGGGGGACCCAGGCTGAGTGGCCTTCTGGCTGGCAATCTAGAGTTGCTATAGCTGGGAGACTGGAGGTCAAAGTGGGGGACACCTCACTGGGGTGTCCCATGGCCAGGAAGCCAGGGGGCCTTTCTGTGAGGGGAAAAACCATAGTGGCCTACAGTGCCCTGGCAACTCTGCGCAGCTGTCTTTCCCCATGAGTTTTCTAGAATTGTGCTTTGGGAATCTTCTAATAGTAAAGACAAAGGGACCAGAACATTTACCCGCAACAAACATAATAGGAACTCACATAAGTGTCTTCCCTTCAACACAAGTCTGCTGAGGCATGTAAGAGGCATGTGTAATGTTTTCACTTGAACATTCTGGAGAACCACAGCCCACAACCTTTTCATAAAGTCAAGAGCCCATTGGGCCTGGAATTACAGCACAACAATAATGCAGATTCACAGGATCCTAACCTGTGACCTCTGAAAACCAAAGACAGACGGGGACCTAGACTGCCAACCAGCCTGCAGCATGGAGACGGTGAAGCATAGCCACCGGCTGGCAGCGTGAATGGGACACTTTCTCCTTCTCCCACTGGGCTGGTCCCTGGCAGCAGAGGCCCTGGAAATATTGCCTAGAGGAGGTAGATCTTGATCATCCCACTGAGTCACAGTCCTTCCATGTGCAGACTCTGAGTCAGGGAGCTAAACGCCAGAGGTGCCTCCATTGACATCGGAGAGGTTGCAAAGAAAGCGGGTGCCATTATTATGTATCTAATGACGCTTTTACTTTCACTTATCGTATATCCTTAACCTGGGAAATGGGGAGGGTTGTATAGGCTAAGGGGAAATGGGACGAGAAAATAAGAACAGTAACCTGAGGCAGGGGTCCCACACAATACATCCAGACTGGGAGGGCTCCAGGGAGCACTGGGTGGGGGTTGGGAGACGGAGGAACGGTGACGCTGATGGCCTCTTTCCTTTCTTGCTTTGCTCAGGTATAATGCTTGCATACATCAGTGCTTTGAAAGGAGGACAAAAGGTGCTGGGAATATGGTCAATGGACTGGCCAACAATGCTGAAATTGACGACAGCAGCAACTGCGACGCAACCGTGGTGCTACTTAAGAAAGGTAACCAAGGAGAGGCCTGCGTCCAGGAGGGAGGGGCTGGAATACGAGCCCATCTGCCCACTCTCACATCACACACAGGGTGTCCCAGCTGGTCTTGAGAGGACACTGCATGCCCAAGAGAGAAGAGACCAGGGCACAGAAATGTCCAGTCTCCCTCCCTCCCTTGGGCTACATCATGGAGCAGTCTCCTGCCCAGAAACGAGCCAACTCAGAAAGCCCCACAGAAGTTCTTGGTCTACACGTTTACGGGGACATTAGGGCAGGATGGTAAACGAGAGAAGACCAGGGGTTTTGAGGTACTGGTCCTGTCACATTTTGGCTGTGTGACTATGAAGCAAGTCACTTAACCTCTCCGAGCCTCAGTTTTCTCTTCTGAAAAAAAAAATGGGAATCATTTTTATAATGAATAAAGTATGGAAAAGAATTTAGCACAATGCTCCAGGTGTTGTTAGTGTGTTACTACATCCAAATTCACTTTCCGGTGACATTAACACCATTTCCAAGCTGCAAAAGGAAATAGAAAATAACTTTTCAAAGTCATTCTTATATCCAGTAGATTCTTACAAAGAAGTTGATATGTTAAGGAAAATAATATAGTGCTCTCTGATAAATAATATTCTTTCTTAGAGGAACAGAGAAAATTATTATTTAATTTTTTGCTGGAATGTGTTTCACTTTTAATTTTTTTTAACTTTCCCCTTGAAATGTGCAAGTTTGTTTCTTCTTGGTCCCATCTGGTTGCTTCACGGAAAAAAAAAAAAAACAAAAAAAAGAAATTAGAAAATATATAGGTTATTATCGAATATATCTCTGACTTTGGAATCTCTAGGTAATTATTAGTTTGAAAATCAAATATTTAATATATTTTCCTCAATGATTATATGCATGTATTTTAAATTTTATTCCTAATTTTTAAATTTTTTATTAGTATTAGCATATTCATTATTACAAATCATGATTTTTCTTTATGCCCTTCCTCAAATCCTCTCCCACCCTCCCTCCCATCTCTAGTAACCTTAGGTTTGTTCTCTCCTTCTGAAAGTTTAATGAATCACTATTAAAATCACTTTTCTTTCTTCCTCTCTTTCTTTCTGACTTTCTTTCTTTCTATCCTTCTTTCTAATCATCCAGTTATAAGTGAGAACATACAGTATTTCTCTTTCCTTGTCTGGCTTATTTCGCTTAACATAATTTTCTCCAGACTCATGCATGTTGCTGCAAATGGCAGAATTTTATTCTTTTTTATGACTGAATAGTATTCATTGTGTATATACACCTCATTTTCCTTATCCAGTCGTCTGTCACAGGACATTTAGGTTGGTTCCATATTTTAGCTATTGTAAGTAGAGCTGCAGTGAACATGGGAGTGCAGGTGTCCCTTCGACATGATGATTTCCATTCCTTTGAGTATATACCCAGCAGTGGGATTGCTGGATCATATGGCAGCTCTATCTATAGTTGTTTGAGGAACCACCATACTGTTTTCCATAATGGCTTTGCTAATTTACAGTCCCACCAACAGTGTAGAAGAGTTCCCCTTTCCCCACATCCTCACCAGCGTTTGTCATTCATGATTATATGCATGTTTAACCAAAAACTTGAGTTATCTAGTACCACTCCACCAAGTCTAGTACCAAATCCAGTGAGGATTTCATTTCGTTTCATCTCTTCTGGGTAGTTTATAATCATAAAAAGAATACTCTTAGGGAACCAAAGAGAGCTACCTAATGTCAGCTGGTATTTCCAGAGAGCATTTCATGGTTTAGTGGCTGGGAAAACAGGCTGTAGTTTTCACAGATGCCCATAAGCTATGTGTGCACATTGCCCTTTCATTGAGGGGGGCTTGGGTCTTGGTGGGACATTTTTTCAGATCTCCCAGCAAATTGTTACACAAGATTTCTCCCAAATCCCCTTCTGGACCTCGGTCCTCTCTCTGTAGCGTGAGCAGCTCACCCCCGACCCCGTCGTCAGCTCTGTTCATAGGCTGGGCTGACAGAAGGTGTGTATTTCCCACCAAGTCCTCCACTTTGCGCTGAAGTCAATTCTGTAGCATTTAATAGCTCAGTATGAATATTGCTGACATTTGAAGGGTGTAAATGGCTACTATAGGTGATTGGGGTCTTTCCTGTGCTCCAGATCTGAGTGTTGGGAAAAGAGTCCTTTGAGGACAGAGAGGAATTCTCTTATGTTATCACACATTCTACCATGTTAATGAATGGTGCTTAAGTTGCTCCAAGTCATTTCAAAAAAGCTATCATGGAAAGGAGATTTTGACTCTTCTCCAAGTGTTGCTCACTGCAGCACTCTCCGTGGATGAATGAATGGATGGACGGATGGATGGATGGATGGATGGACAGACAGATGGATGGATGGATAGAAGGCAGGAAGGAAGGAATAAGGAAGGAAGTGAGAATGGATGGATGGGTGGATGGACGGGTTAATGGATGGAAGAGTGGGTAGGTGAGTGGGTAGGTGAATGGATGAATCAATGGATGGATGGATAGTAGGAAAGAAGGAAGGAAGTCATGGAGGAAGGAAGAGAAGGGAAAGGAGGGAAGAATGAATGAATATCTCTTTTCTGCTCCTGGCCTCAATGCTATTTTACTTTACGGTTTGTCTGTTTGCTTGTTTTCCTAGCCAATTTCCACCGCAAAGCATCAGTGATCATGGTGGATGAACTGCTGTCTGCCTACCCACACCAGCTTTCTTTCTCTGAGGCTGGCCTTCGAATCATGATCACAAGCCACTTTCCCCCCAAGACCCGGCTCTCCATGGCCAGCCGCATGTTGATCAATGAGGTATCTGGGAAAGCACAGTCCCTTTGCCACTGTGAGGAGTGGGACACTTTGGAAAGGAAAGTTTCCTGGTTTGAAAGACATGGCAGCTAACTCAAAGTTTTAGGTAGTAGTATCCCCTGGCAATTTCCCAGCATCCTCACTCAGGGGCCAGGTGTGTATCCTGGTTCTTGCTCTTTCCTCCACATATTGAGAGACATAGTCTACCCCCCAGTGAGGTAGGAAAACTCTCCTGCCCTTTCCACCCACCTTTTTCTTCTATTCTTCCATTTGAATAAAGCCCCCCCCCCATGTAAACTTGCACATACAGAGTTGTGAATAAAGGTTATCTTATTGTAAAGTAATCCAGAGTCTCTGACCTGAGTTTTCCTGTGTAGTCCTTTCTCTGGAGTGGCAGCCTCGTTGATACACTAGTCCAAACACAGTTGTGTGGCTTCCTCACATGTGGACCAACAGAGTCCTACAATCTGGAGATGAAAGATCACACCACAACGCACATGGCATTAAATAAGTCCACATTCCAGACCTAGGAATTTTCCTCTAAAGGGATTTGCAGGTTGCAGTGGGTCGGGACCAACAGAGTCCTACAATCTGGAGATGAAAGATCACACCACAACGCACATGGCATTAAAGAAGTCCACATTCCAGACCTAGGAATTTTCCTCTAAAGGGATTTGCAGGTTGCAGTGGGTCGTAAGAAGTTAATCTTTCCCTCCAGAAGATGGTTGTCTGAGTTGGTTATCACTTTGAGGAATCCCTTAAGACTCTACTCCAGAGTCTTCTGGAAGCAGCTCCTTGTCAGCTGCCTGGGAAGGATGCCAGTCGTTCACGTTCTGGGTGTGAGGTATTTGCAATCCTTCTGACCATGGTAAGAATGTGTCTTTCTCTTTCCAGAGACAAAGACTGATAAATAGCAGGGCTTACGCCAATGGGGAATCTGAGGTGGCCATCAAAATCCCAGTCAAGCACGCTGTGGAGAATGGAACAGGGCCCAGCAACGCCCCGGACAGGGGCGTGAGCGGGACTCGGAGGGACGATGTTGTTGCCGAGGCTGGCAATGAGACGGAAAATGAGAACGAGGACAACGAGAACGAGAATGACGAGGAGGAAGAGGAGGATGAGGAGGATGAGGAAGGGCCATACACACCATTCGACCCCCCGTGTAAGAGGTCCCACCGCTGGGCTGGGGTAGGGAGCTGTCCTGGGGCCATGGAGGGGACGTCCTTGACTTGGGTGATCTTTGTACCATTTGGTTAAAAAAAATCTCTATATGAACATAAAAATACTTATATTAAGTTTCTACAGTGGGCAGGACTCTGTCGTAGAAGGTACAGAAATGGTGGCACATGATCATTGGTTGACATGTGAGCTCTTTGACCAAATATATTTTGTTGGTGGAAGGTTCTCTCTTAGTTGTGCTGCAGGACCTTTTGGTACTAAGGAGGAAATGCACATGACCTGTGATGGGGACATTTTCCCTTCCCATGCTAATTCTACAAGGGTGTGGGCTCCCTAGGTTTCTGTCACCCAACTGCAGTGACCTCTTCTCCCCAGGATTTGACTATAGTGAGTATAATTAACAAATAAGCAATTATCTGGGAGTATGTCAATATAGGTATATATGAGGCATATGTGTATATATATATATAGTATATGCATTGTATATGTACATACGAATATAGGAGAATATATGTATATGTGCATATATGTATAGTGTGCAGTGTATGATTGATATAGTGTATGCATATAACATGTGCGTGTATATTATAAATAGACAATATATGATGTATGTACAGACATGAACATGCCTATGTTCATATATGTATAGACTGCATTTGTGTACACATACTACACACATATTATAAACCCCTACACATAGTAAACGTACGTACATATGTACAAATGCACCACTATTCTTATCTCTTGAGTGAAGAAAGCTTTATGGTTGATAGAAAGAGAAGCATTTTCACATCTATGTAGGTAAACACACTTCCATAGGAAATAAACTAGAAGGAATAAACCAAGATATAAGTATGTTTTTCCAAAGTGGAATTATATTTTTTTCTTTATTTCCCACTTTAAAACAATGTACATTTTTATTGCCTACATAATCAGAACAAATATATATGTATATTTAGCTCTAGGTCTAAAATATTGTACAATGACTTTTTCTGTCTGCAATAGAACTGATCTTTCTAAAAAACTTGGTAAGGAATATAATTTAGAAGCAAATCCCTTTGTTTTTAAAGTCAAGTCCTACACGGCAGGCTATGGTCACGCCCCATCCCAGCTCGTGCCCCCACGTCACCTGCCGGTGGCCAGCTACGTATGAAATCACGTGATCACCGGGGCTTCAGGCCCACGGGAGAGAGTTGTATTTCCTTAATTCGCTGCTGTGTGCCCAGAGCCTGGAGCAGTGCCTGGCACAAAGTGGCACAGAGGACATTGAATACATACTTGTCAAATGAGTGCACCTATCCCATTCATGCTCAATTTGGACTAAATGGTAATGGAACAAAGGATGGAAAAATGTGCAGAAATGCTGTTGACTCAAAGAGGAAAGGAAACCGTTTTTACCCCTTTATTCAGAACTGGAAATTAAGACTCACTAAAATGTGGACAATCCTTATTTGATTGCTCCTGCTCCTCAAAGTCATTTAAAAAGCATCTTTCTGTATCACTTGGTTTGCTCAAGGAGTTTGTTATATTACATTAAAAGATATATTTCAGATCACACTCATTGAATTTCTACTCTTAAGGTTGTTGTTACAAAGGAGCAATAACTTAAAGAAAGCATATGTATCATTTTAATGACAGTGAAAATATGTTTTCCAAGTATAATGCCCTCCCAGTGTCAAGTCAGAATTTTCAAAAACAGCTGAGGGAAGAATCTCAAAACTCATTGGCGCTTCCTTGTACTGTTTGCAAATTTATCTAATCAATCTCATGGTCCAAGCTCTTGTAGTCATAAGTTCTGACTTCATTTTTCTTCTCTTTTTTATTTTTTGAGGAATGTCAAAGGGCCATATGGAGGTCATTTCTCTTCCCATTCATGCATTTCTTTGTAATCTTTGATTGAGTGTGTATTTTAAACCCTGTGAAGGCACCAGTCAGTTTTTTATTTTTTGAGGAATGTCAAAGGGCCATATGGAGGTCATTTCTCTTCCCATTCATGCGTTTCTTTGTAATCTTTGATTGAGTGTGTATTTTAAACCCTGTGAAGGCACCAGTCAGAGGGAAGTCCAGCGAGGGGTTCCTAAGCGCTCCCTATGGATAAATGCCTAATTACCACATTGCAGGATTTAGGAATGTGCAGAATTCCAGGATTCACTTGGGAGATCTGGCCATATTCTGGATTCTGCAGCATTTTTAAGCCCTGACAAAACAACTGTCAATCTTCTTCTTTGTAGTCCAGCCGTACACAGGCTCAAGGTTATCGCCATATTCTGGATTCTGCAGCATTTTTAAGCCCTGACAAAACAACTGTCAATCTTCTTCTTGTTTGTAGTCCAGCCATACACAGGCTCAAGGTTACTATTCACTCGACTGTCTCCAAATCTTAAATCTAAGATGGGTAGCAGCTAACAGGGAAAGAAGTCCCCTTTCTTAATAATCGTTTCTCTTTGCTTTATTCTGTACTCATAAGTGGGATATCCTTAGATTCTCGAAAACAAATGATTTTCTTTGGTCTGACTGATTAGGTTGTTTACAGTAATATNATTCACTCGACTGTCTCCAAATCTTAAATCTAAGATGGGTAGCAGCTAACAGGGAAAGAAGTCCCCTTTCTTAATAATCGTTTCTCTTTGCTTTATTCTGTACTCATAAGTGGGATATCCTTAGATTCTCGAAAACAAATGATTTTCTTTGGTCTGACTGATTAGGTTGTTTACAGTAATATCACTATTGTTGATTTATTGAGCATGTGATATATGCTTTGCACTTTTCATGGCTTTCAGAATAGAATGGTGAATAATCTAGAGAAGACCACTGTTCTCGTAGAGTTTATGTTCTCATTTGGGGGAGACTGAAAACAAATGGGGAAGCAAATAAACCTGATGATTTCAGGCAGGAAATTTTTGCTATGAAGCAAACAAAAGCAAGTTGTAGAAAAGCAGGAGTGAGGTGGTGAGGGTCTTATTTAGAGGTGGTGATCTGAGGGCTCAGGTGACAATTGAGCAGTGAGGTTGCCTACATGACAGAGCAGACTCAGCCAGGAGAAAATCCAGACAGAAGGACCCGCAAATACAAAGGCCTTGAGGCAAAAAAAAAAAAGTCTTGGAATGTCTGAGGACAGGTAGCAAGCCAAGACAAGGGAGTGTCTGAGCAGGGAGAGTGGTAGGTGGGGACAAAATCAGGCAGGGCCTTCTGGGCCATGGTGGGAAGATGTGGTTTTACTCTGAGGGCAGTGGAAGCTGATGGAACAATTTGCTTTTTGAGACTCTCCCTCTGGCTACTGGTAGCACACAGATGGAGGTGGGAGAGGCATTGGAGCAGGGTCCATTTAGGAAGCCAGATCATAGATAGACAACCTGGCCCGGGGAAGGCTGTGGGGACGGTGAGATGGTGAAAATGCCCCGGGCATGTTGTCAGGGTTGAGTGTGGGGATAAAAGAAAGGGAAGAATCAGCAATGACTCTCAGGATTTTGAATGGAGCAACTTGCAAGCTCGTGTTGTCCTAGCCCCTGTCCTCATATCATCTCGTTTTATTCTCCCATCAACTCTATGAGCTCAGTGTTACTGTATCCACATTTTACAGATGAAGAAACTAAGGCTTAGAGAACTTAGACAGCTGGGTCACTCAACTCATAAACTACAGAGCAGGAACAGGAACCAGCGCTGTCTGATGAGGAAGCCCCCCTCTGCCCCTGTAGCCCACTCTGCCTTGGCATCTGAGGGAGGCCAGGAGGTGCCTGAAATGATGTTAGGTAACTTTTCCATGCAGTTTTAAGAAACTTCTTGGAGACTAGTAAGAGACATAAAATAAATACGGGAGACTAGTAATAAAATTACAAAATAAATTTTATTAAACATTGTATTAATCACTGTTCAAAATGGTATAATAAAAAAAATACTTCCTTAACTGAGAATGTAAAATAGCTCGATCATTTTGGAAACTGGCAGTTTCTTATAAAGTTAAATAAATACCCACCCTATGACTCAGCAGTTTTCCTGGTTCTTCACCCAAGAGAAATGAGACAAGCCCACGGGCTTTTATAAGAATGTTCATTAAAAA